TGTATGAATAGATAGTAGAACAGGGCAAAAACTGCTGAGGGCCACAAGGGATAGAAAGTTTTGATGAGACATGATCGCCCATGTCCTGAAGGGACAAGGCACATACAAAAATTACCTGATGTATACATAATTAATTGTGAAAATAAGTACTACAAAAATATAAAATTCTTTTCTATTCTATTTATGACCATATTTGTTTCCTCACAAAATAGTAACTTGTAACACCAGTGTAAAAAAAGAAAGCGAGTAGCTTTTCATTCATCTTTACCATCATTAATATTATTATGTCTATCAAAATTATCAATTCAGTTAGACCTTTGGTCTCCATTATTATATTGGGAAATACAAGTACTGAGAATTCAAAGTACTAGTTTAAACAGGGCCTCAAAGCTGCTTTTAGAAAATGGAAGGAAATGAAACTATTTGATTATACTGCTTAAAATGGGTTTAATGATTTTAAGGATAGTGATTTGCTCCTTGAAATAATACCCAGGAAAAGACAATCATCAGTTACCATAATAATAGGTGAGAGCTTAGAAGAATGGTTTATTCTCCCATTTAATTTACTTCATTATTATTATAACCAATGTACATATAATAAAACCGTATTTCCCAGACAACGGAACGGCTGAAAGTAAAAGGAATGACAAACATGCTTTGTTCTCCAAGAGACTTTTTATACCACTAAGACATATACAAAATTATATATACATATTTACATGTGTCCCACACAAAAAAAATAACATAGCAAGCAGAGTAAAAGGAGAATAAAAAAAATAAGGTCTTGCATATAATATGGAGATTCTCTTGTGTTTCTGGGGAATCCAAGTTTAGGAGGCATGATTCAACTACAATGTTCCAAGCGAGAACATATTCTGTGAACACGAAACAACAGAGACTTGGGTTTAGCCAAATTGAAGACTAATAGCCAGAGATAGTTTTTTTTTCTGTATCTGGGAAGATATATTCCCAAAGAAAAACAGTGCCAAGTGCTTGTAAGCTGCTGGAGGAGGCAGATTTAACCTCAGCCTGGGCCAAGAAGCCTGAGCCAAACAAATGACTGCTTCATTTGACTCCTGTAAAACAAATTAAATCAACTGCCACTTTTGTTACTGTATGGAGTGACATTACTAAGCAGCCATCACATGACTTCATTAACACTAAAAGGAAATGGTTGCTTTTTGTATCCTTACACCATCTATGATGCTTTAAAATTCAAATTAGAGAAGTATCCAAGCAATAGCACTGAAAAACTTTCAAAAGTGATAAAACCATATAGTCATACATTAAATATTATAAAAGCTTTAGAAATATACAGGAGCCCTCAAAAGGCTTCCTATGAACTCTTAGAATTGCCAAAATCACATTGAGTAGACATTTGCAAAACTCTTCTTTACAATCCATTGCATGTATTTTTTTTTATCTATAATTGTATACAAGGTACATTCTGGAAGTTTTGAGACTTTTTAGTAGAGCCAGTTATATCAGTCCTAGATTATTGTAATTTTAGTATATAATTACTATACATCAAATAAGCTGACCTGCCAACTTTTGTTATTCCAGATTAAAGGAGATGGCTGTAACAGCTCTTTGAACACACCCTACTAAACATTGCTTGTCACAAATGATTAACTTGCAGAATGCATTCAGGATTGTGGAGACAATTTTGAAGCTTACTACACAATGTTTTGTGTCAAAGATAGGTATCAGAACTGTCCCTTGCCCTTTTTACTATCCAGACTTTGCACCCTGTGACTTTTGGCCATTTCACAAGCTGAAGTAGAACCTCAGGGGTAGTTGTTTTCAAAACATTGAGAAGGGTCCTGGACATCTTCATTTTAGATATCTTATATGGGGCCTTCACAAAGTGGTTGGAATAATTGATATAAGCAAATTGAAATCAGTAGATCCTACTTTGAAGATTAGATTTTTGTATTTTGTAATTAATGTTTGTCCTGAAAAACTTTCAAAACCACTGGAATGCACCTAGTATGGCAAGATAATTTATTTATGAAAGTTAGACACTCAGAAACAATAGTTATCTTGCCAGATATAGGCTCCTTGCCCCAGTCACTAAATGTATTACTTTCTGTGGTAACCTAAAAACCAAAAAACTTTGGCCATAACACCAGATTTTTCACTACAGAATGGTTAAAGAAAGTCTGAAAAATTATTAAGCTCAGGGTTGAAACATCATGAACATGGGCCATCACACAAAACTGAAGTTGGCACATTACTGAGATTGATAAAAGCCCTGGAATGATCACAAAAAATATCTGCAATTCATTTACAAGATTTTAACAAGGAAATTTATTTTAGCTTCTGGTCACACACATATTTCAAACTAGCAGCTTCTTTTACCAAATTCAACTTCTTGAAAGTGATAGGCTGTAGTGTGAACATTGAATTACTTAATTACAATAATGATGAATGAACAACTGTCATATGTATCTTTTTGTTTGTTTGTTTCTCACTCCTTTCAAAAGTTGGGATGATTATCGGATGGTTTGTTTATTCACAACTACTAAATTCTTCTCTGCTTGCATATCTCTGATGATGTCAGCCCATGTTTCACTTCTGCAGAACTGCTGTTTTCTTTGTTCAGTAGGCATGTGGCCAGCTTGCCACTTGACAAAATTTAGATAGCCTAGTTGCCCAAAACTATTCTTCCTATGTAATCACTATTGAATATTTATCTGTAAACAAACACTCAAGCCAGATGTTCAGCTTGATAAAGTGTTCTTTTCGAAAAGTCATTTCTCTTAAATTATTGTGCCTAAGAACCCACACAAATCCAATGGATATGTTTTTATGAAAACAACTTAATCTCAAGAACTTTTAAAGATAATGTTTTGGTTCATGAAGTAATTTATCATGCCATCGTTTTCACCTAACTTGAAGAGTGTAGTTTATGGTTATAGGAACAAATTTAGTTATAATAAATTGAGTTAATATTTAGGTTTGTGGTTTTAATAACATCTAAATGCATCCAATTAACCATTATTAACCTCTCAATCTATCTTTTTTAAATGTAAAAAAATAATAATTCCACTATTCATTAAATACAATCAAGCCTCCTCACACATCTTTCCATGTTGCTATATCATAAAACAGTGGTCTGCTATATCTAATTGTTTGTTGACTGCTCTTAAGCCTCTTTGTGGCTCAGCTTACAGTGTATGAGTGGGTTGCTACACACATTGTCATGGCTGGATTGGGAATAAATTGCAGAAAGTGTGAAAACAAGGAAAATTAAAAAAGAAATTGTTTTTATTTGATGAAATAGTCAAAGCTTGAATATTCAGTACTAATACCTTAATGAATAGGAAAAAATATATGTCACTTTAAAGATTATTATCTATTTTGATTTTTAAGATGTTTATTTTGTTTTGTAAATAAAAATAGTGTTTAAGAAATTAAAATATTTTTATATACCCCAATAATTTCAATTGTTTATTGAAACATCTTTATCCTCAATCATATTTTTTGTCACTATTTTTAATAATTATGTCTGGATTGGATATAATTATCTGTTTAGGTTTCAAAATCCCAAATAATTTTACTACTACTATTTTTATTACTAGTGTACATTTGTAGAGACAGGTCATACATTACAAACCCACATGATATACACAATAAATGAGGATAAAGGAAGATTCTGCTTTTCTATGTATCTGGGTGACAAGCACAGGCAATCAAACAAGTCTTTTAGTTCAGGATCCTAACTCATATGAACAATCCTTGTACAATTTTCTGCACAGCAAAATTTGAAATTTTTGCAATGAGTCATCACTCCTCTTCAATCATTTCTATTTTTATACACCCAAGATTTTTTTTTTATTTGATTCTGGGTTTTCTGATTCAATTTACTTTGTTTTATTATTATTGGTATTTTTGCTCTCTTTATTCTTGATTTTTCTTCATCCTCATTTTATTTATTTTTTTTATAAAGAAAACCTTCTTCACATCCTTCACCTAGTTATTTTCTTTTCCAAATAAATATTTAGGAAACTCGGCAAGAATTGACAAAGCTATACATATCCTACCCATCAAAAAGTCTTTTTCTCCTGATCTTGCTGTTAACCTCTGTGGTTAATTTAGCCAAAGTTATGACATCTAAAAATGCAATCTATAAAACAGAAGATGTCTGTGCGTGCATGTATGCTATTTATGAATGTCTACATTTTCTGCATGAAAATACATAGTGCAAATTTAGCAAATTAGGTTAAGACTAACATTTCAATTTCCAACCACAGGGTTTGGCAGAAAAATCAATAAAACTGAAGGTGGGTACGATTTTTTTCAAAAATCAAGGCAAAGTTAAACAAACAAAGTTTTTACTGGATGAGCTGATATTCTTTGCACATAATGCAAAACATAGCTCATGCTATGAGGTTTATGTAGATTACTTGATAGTTTTTCTGCGACAATGGCTTCACACAAAAAATTGCAAAAATGGGCTTTCACCATTTAGCCAATAGTTTCTTTATATGATTCCATCTTAAATCAGCATTTGAACAATCTTTGATGCTAATAAAAATGCAGATTAGGTCAAAAATGCCTTCCAGCAATATATCAATTCCAGCGATCTGTTTTATCATGATGGAATAAATTTACTGCTATAATATTAACCATGTATGCATGTTAATGATGTTTGCTTTGACTAATAAATTTATGTTTGAAATGTTCAGACTTGGTGGTGATATATTTTTTCTACCTCATCATAAATAATAAATGTCTCTTTGTTTCTTCTTATGACTAAGATAGCCATAGACATTTTTGCTTTGCAAATGGATTGAATTATATAATTTTTGGTATATAGTTTTGCTCTGTAAATATGTGTAATAGTTTCCTGAATTTTATTTTAAGGGTAACAAACCACAAAAAACAACCACAAAAAAACAAAGAAAAACAAAGAAAAAAAACAAAGAAAAAATCCCAAAGAAAAACAAAAAAAAAAAAAAACAGATGAAAAGCAACAACGAAAAACCAAATAAAGATCAACAATGAACAACAAAAAAAAACAAAAAAAAAAAAGCAACAAAGAAAACCAAAAAAAAAGCAACAAAGAAAACCAAAAAAAAAGCAACAAAGAAAACAAAAAAAGCAACAACCCCCCCAAAAAAGCAACAAAGAAAACAAAAAAAGCAACAAAGAAAACAAAAAAAGCAACAAAGAAAACAAAAAAAGCAACAAAGAAAACAAAAAAAGCAACAAAGAAAACAAAAAAAGCAACAAAGAAAAACAAAAAAAAAAGCAACAAAGAAAAAAAAAAAAAAAAGCAACAAAGAAAACAAAAAAGCAACAAGGAAAACAAAAAAAAAGCAACAAAGAAAACAAAAAAAAGCAACAACAACCCCAAAAAAAGCAACAAAGAAAACAAAAAAGCAACAAAGAAAAAAAAAAAAAAAAAAGCAACAAAGAAACCAAAAAAGCAACAACCCCCAAAAAGCAAATAGAAAAACAAAAAAGCAACAAAAGAAAACAAAAAAAAAAAAGGAATAAAGGGGAGTGGGGAAGAAAAGCAAGAAAACCAAAAGAAAAGCAAAAAAAAAACCAAAAGAAAAGGGAGAAAACCAAAAGAAAAGGGGAAAGAAAACCAAAAAGAAAAGCAACAAAGAAAACCAAAAAGAAAAGCAACAAAGAAAACCAAAAAAAAAATAAAGGGGTGACAAAGAAACCAAAAAATAAAGGGGAGAAAAACCAAAAAAATAAAGCAACAAAGAAAACCAAAAAAAAATAAAGCAACAAAGAAAACCAAAAAAAAATAAAGCAACAAAGAAAACCAAAAAAAAAAAGCAACAAAGGAAACAAAAAAAAGCAACAAAGAAAACAAAAAAAAACAACAAAGAAAACCAAAAAAAAAAGCAACAAAGAAAACCAAAAAAAAAAGCAACAAAGAAAACCAAAAAAAAAAGCAACAAAGAAAACCAAAAAAAAAAACAACAAATAAAACCAAAAAAAAGCAACAAAAGAAAAACAAAAAAAAAAAACAAAGAAAACTAAAAAAAAAAAACAAAGAAAACCAAAAAAAAAAAAAAAAAACAAAAGAAAACCAAAAAAAAGCAAACAAAGAAAACCAAAAAAAAAAAAACAAACAAAAAACCAAAAAAAAAAGCAACAAAGAAAACCAAAAAAAAAAAGCAACAAAGAAAACCAAAAAAAAAAAGCAATAATGAATCCTGGCTCAGAATTGCCTTACTGTATAGGTTGAATAAGTCTGGTGAGAAGATACATCCTTGTCATACACTCCTTTCTGTTTTTGTATATCTGCTCATTTTCTTATCTACTTAACCTGAAATATTGAAATATGAAGACTACTTATTCTGGCATCTTAAATCATTGCCTTATACAATCAGACAATGCTTTTGTCCAAAAAAATATGAATGACAGGTAAATAACCAAAGACTCTTTGAGAAAACAACACAGGACATTAGAAAGTTCATAGAATTTCAGACATTAATTCAAATGATCGTCTCAGTAGAAAAAAAGCCAGAGAAATGGTAAGAATAAAAAATAAGTTCTATTTTATTTCTTCTACCCAGAGCAGTCATACCAACAATTATACATTCCCACTTTTCAATCATTCTATGCAATTAGCAAATGTCAAATACTAATGGCCTACACCATGTTGTTTCCAGCCCCAATGGCTGGCTTCAACAAGCAAATGAATTAACAAATTGTGAAAATGTATTAGTGGAGAAAGCAGAAAGGCACATAACTTTATCTACACCCAATTAATCACTTGTTACTTTCAGATCAAGTTCCACTTTAAAAAACACAATTGACAATGCCATGTAAACTTGATTATATATTTTTCTTTGCCTTTTCACATCAATTGATAGAATGAACAGCTTCATTACTTCAGATTTATAGATTTTGAGTTGGTTTTACTTTTCTGACATGAAATCTTTAGTGAAGATCTCTGAAATAATTATTCTTAATGGCAGTTATAGTTGTAGTAAAAATATCTTAATAAATTAAATGAATGGTAGAAAAATACAATTCACAAAGACAAAACTGTAAAAAGTAAAAAAAAAAAAAAAAAAAATCTAATTAAAATAACTTAATGGGGTTCCCTCCAGCTTTCTCCAGGTGTTTGTCATAGTTGAAAATCTTCAAATAATTTTCAACTGAATGAGTCTGACTAAATAAATGTTTATTGATTTAAAAAAATAAAAGACAAATAAAAAACTAAAAGAATTTTAACCAATTTAAAAAAACTAAAAGAATTTTAACCAATTTAAAAAAACTAAAAGAATTTTAACCAATTTAAAAAAACTAAAAGAATTTTAACCAATTTAAAAAAACTAAAAGAATTTTAACCAATTTAAAAAAACTAAAAGAATTTTGACCAATTTAAAAAAAAAACTAAAAAATTTTAACCAATTTAAAAAAAACTAAAAAATTTTGACCAATTTAAAAAACTAAAAAGAATTTTAACCAATTTAAAAAAACTAAAAGAATTTTAACCAATTTAAAAAAACTAAAAGAATTTTGACCAATTTAAAAAAAATAAAAGAATTTTAACCAATTTAAAAAAAAAACTAAAAAAATTTTAACCAATTTAAAAAAAAAAAAATAAATGAATTTTAACCAATTTAAAAAAAAAACTAACAGAATTTTAACCAATTTAAAAAAAAAAAAATAAAAAGAATTTTAACCAATTTAAAAAAAAAAATCTAAAAGAATTTTAACCAATTTAAAAAAAAACTAAAAAAATTTTAACCAATTTAAAAAAAAAAAGCTAAAAGAATTTTAACCAATTTAAAAAAAAAACTAAAATAATTTTAACCTATTCAAAAAAAAAAAAGAAAAAATTTTAACCGATTTAAAAAAAAAGAAAGAATTTTAACAATTTAAAAAAAAAAAGAATAATCAAAGAATTTGAACCAATTTAAAAAAAAAAAGAATTTTAACATTTTTTTAAAAAAAAATTAAAGAATTTTAACCAATTTAAAAAAAAGAAAGAAAAAGTAATAAAAAAAAGGATTTTAACTATTTTAGCAATTAAAAAAAAATCAAAGACTACAATAAATACCAGTGTATCTTCCTGTTGAGCATTGTTGGAAAACTTTTTGCCCAAATGGTATTAACTCAATTTTAAGGCATATCTAATCATATCTACCCAGATTCCCAATGAGAATTTAGAACTAAAAGATCTACAGTTGATCTTCTCTCTGTTAGCTCCAGGAGAAATTCTGTGAACAATAGACATCACTACATTGCCTTCAACCTAGTTAGCAGAAAAGGTCCATTGACTGTCCTCCAGAGTTGCTGAGCATTATCATCATTCACAAGAATATACAGGCTTTATTTAAATATGATGGTGTAACTTCAATGCCCATCACACTTCAGAGCAGCATAAAACAAGGATGTGTATTAGCACTGAATTTGTCTGGCATCTTTTCCCTGTTACTGAGCTTTGCATTACAACAATATGTCGCAATGGTAAACTCTTCAGCTTGGCACACCTGAAGGTAAAGACCAAGGTGTGCCCAGTCCTCATCAAAGAAATTCTGTTGGCTGATGATACAGCCCTAACTACACACACCAAACACAACTTCCAACAAGTGATTAGTCAATTCAACTATGTCTGTACGAAAACCAATTTAACTGTTAAATTAAAATAACAGATGTCATAGGACTGAATGTTCCAGCATCTTAATCAGCATTAATAACATGTTGCTTGAAGTCACAGATGTAATCACATATCTGAGCTTTACCATCACTAACAGCTTGACCTGAAAATTGACAAATGCATTACCAAAGCAGCAGAATGGTAAAATTGTGCAAATGAGTATAGAACAACAGTCAGCTGACCTTAAACACCAAAGTAAAAGTATTCCAGACATGTGATCTCAGTACTCTGAACGGCAAAACTTGGATGACATACACCAGGAAGGAAAACTGCCTGGAAAGTGTTATGATATGAATGTGTTTTAACATTACTAAGCTTATGGTGACAGAACAAAGAAGAAACAAAAATTTAAAGAGATAAATATTTGTATTAACATAAATTACAATAAGTGAAAAATCAGGATAGATATCTCTTGTATAAAAAAAAAAAAAAAAAAAAAAGGTAAGTGGAATTGTAAAATCATCTGGTGAGGCATACAGAAGGAGGGGGAGGATAAATGGTAATGGTAATGGCATTGGTGAGCTGGTAGAGTCTGATGTCTTCAGAGATGAGAGTTTGCTTTTTAAGAAATGTGTGAACTTGGGTTAAGATACCATCCAACTGCCAAATATCCCTTTGATGGGCTTTTTTTGATGCTCAAATCTGATCCTGTTTTCATTTTGTTTCTTAGGCAGAAGAGGGAGCTATTAGGTGGAAATTCTGGATTGTCTTGCTTTTTTCTTTTTTTTTTTTCTTTGAGTGTGTGAGTAAATGGAAGATTTGTGCAGAACCTTGAACAGGTGATGGATATTTTATGTTGTTTTTTGTGCATTCAAAGCATTCTTATCTGGCTATTGGTGGAAATTAGTGTAGCATGAATCAGAAGATCTGATTTGGGGAAGAATGTAAAAATTTTTCACTCTTCACTGCCAATGGTATATCTTCAGCATAATATAGACCATGCATCTCTTCTATTGTCAACATCATCTTCAATGGCTGGGTCATGTACATGATGGCTTTATACCAAAAGACATCATGTATGCTGAACTTCCATAGGAAACTGTCCAGCAGGCCATCCTGCATGACATTTTATGGACATCTGCAAGAGAGACCTTAGACTTACAAGTACTAACCCTCATAGCTGGAAACAGCATACATAGTTGCTAATGCCACACTGTTCAAGGAAGAGTCACAGAGGGCAACAAAGCAAAGTGAGCCAACAGCTGGAAGGCAGAAAGTAAACAATGCAGGAAACAATTCCAGTTTCATCTGTCACACTGCAGAAAAGACTGACTTGCAAATATCAGATTGCTAAGACATTCCAGATTCTGCTCACAAAAGAGAGATAAACAGTTGTTTACTGATCTATATCTATTTGTCTTATTCAATTTCAAATATGTTAATATTAGCCGTTTCTCTACTAGAAAACGTTTGAGATTCACTGACCAAGCAGCCAGTACTGCTTTCATTTGAAATTTATAAAATCTTTCTCTTAAAACAATTTTTCAGAAAAACAGTTCTCAAGTCCAGTAGATTTTATCACTTTTTCCAGTATTGATGGAGGTTCCCTTCTTAAACTTTTATTTATAGTAGTGTAGAATGTTAACATAATTTCACTTATATACACAAAATATTTTTTTAGCATTGATATCTGAAGATCAAAACTAGTTTTTTTTTTTTTTTATAACTGACTTAGGTAATTATTATACCAAGTTATTTTTACTGATATATTCATACTGAAAAGTGAATACATCTGAAGTCTGACAATGTTTGACCTTCTTAAACAATTTCATGCTTCAAGCATAAGTTTTGTTCAATTACTATATATCTAAATTTAGCTTTCATATTTTTTTTCAAATGATTCATCATTGTTTTGCATTTCAAACAGTATCCCTATTTTTATCTAAATTATTATTTCATTGTCAAACACAGTTTAACCTTTCTTTGTTATTTTTATCAGTTTTCTGCTCAGATGTTCAGTCCATGGTATTTCTATGAAGCCACATCTGTTACCTTAAATCTCCTCTCCACCTCTGAGGAAATTGTTCATTATTCTCTGTTGCATAGGAGCTTTGCTATTATATAGGAGTTTAGCATTCTTTTCTTGGCATCTAATGAAATTCTTTATACCTGATTTTTAACCTTTATTACAATGTTTACCTTGTATAAGGCCCAAGAGCCACTAGAGGTAGAGGGTTACAGAGTAAGAGGCACAGCTTATGGGAATACATGGGAAGAAGCTTCTCAAGCAGAAATTACATCTCACTAAAGGAATACAAATGGAATGTGGGTAGTTTGCTACAATATGCATGATGCTGATAATACCATGGATCAAACATGTGAGCAATGACAAAAGTTTAGAAAAAATGAAAACAAAAAGGACACTTATACTTAGCATCAGGAAGTAACAGATGAAATTTCTATGGCAAATGTAAAAGTGTACTTGGTAAATTTGATACTCACAGGACAGATTAAAGGGGAAAGGAACAGAGAAAAACAATGCAAAATCTACCTAGTGAGCTTGAGTAAATGGATGGCAGAACAAAGTTTAAGAAAGGTAATAAAAAGACAAAATTTATTAAGAGCTATATAGGACAGAAAATTGTGGACAGCCATGACTGCCAAAGTTCTGAAGGAACACAACATATAAAAGACCTCATTGTGGCTGTTTTATTCACAACATTCCAGCTATTGTGCTCTTTGGCCTTCTTCAGGTATCTGTCATAATATTCAGAAAATGAACACTTTATTCAATCTATAGATGCAGATTGTTCTCTTTCAGCTTTCCATGCTTACAGGATATTTCATATGAGTTAATGCTCATCAACATGAACTAGCATGAGATATCATCTAAATGTGGAATGCTAAAGGAGCACACTTTACTCGTGTGGATTAAATAATGGATTTTGTTCATAATTCTAAGAAGGCTATCAGATATAAAGAAAGACAGCTGAACAAAACCAGAAGGTGAAAATGTTGAAATGTTGTGAGTATAACATCCAAGATTAGTGTGCTGGTCCAAATAAAGTGTATAATAATAATGTTAATTCCTCATCTCAAAAATTATGAACAGGAAAAAAAATCATTGATAAACACTGGCTATCTCAATTTTCAGCAGCATGACTTATACAATTCAAGAAATCATTTTCAAAATTACAGACAGTAACTATGTACTTTTTATTTCATAGCATCAGTAAAGGATTTAAGCAAGTAACAGTTACAAATCAAGTATCAAATTCT